TAGATGATTTGATTGAAGTTATTCACACAACACATTTCGCAGAAATACAGAGTGGTAAACATAAGCTGATGGCTGATGCTAATTGAAAAATTACCAATCTCGTGACATGTTGTTCAAAATATGTTGTTTAAGTGGTGTAATATTGTATTTAGGTACCTATAATTAATCCAGACTTAAAGGTTCGGAACCTTATTATATCCATATATTTGTAAGAAAAATAGTTTGTCAAAAATGCAATACAAACTCTGTTTTATGATAAAATGTTTATAAAAATAATATGTTACAATTTATTGCATACTTTTGAAATCGATTTTCAGTCTTAGTGAATAATTATTATTTATAGACAGTTGATAATTCGATAAAATTAGTTTGATATTGATTTATGTTAATCACAAATATCTGAAAATTTGAACATCGGTTGTAAAAACCTTACTTAAAAATTGAGCTGACAATAACAGCATGTATAGGTGTACCACAGGACTATTGACCACTAATTAATAAAACAAAAATAAATTTAGTCTCCGCNTTGACCAACCAATATTTCCAATTTTACCTCCTGAAAGAAGTACACTTAAATTTAAGGCGTGGGAGAAAACTCAACGGGTACCCTTCATAATTTATGCTGATTTCGAAGCCCTCCTCGAGAAAAATACGGAGCACTTGGGGACGAATACGAAGGGTGTTCATACACACACCTCGATGAGCTATGGGTTCCTCGTGAAGGCATCGGATGACATACCGTTGGAACTCCTAGAACAGTAGAACATCCCATAGACTCCAGTCATTTCCCTAGGATCTGAGTCACAGAACACTGTAGCTAAGACATTTAGTGGAAAAATACTATAGTAGTGGATCACAATCACAGGTCTTTTTAGACATACATTTAGACTTTTTATACAACACATTTGGTTTTTTATTCTATCAATATTGTTCATCTATAACGCATGCAGAGATAACTTTACAAAATTAGAATACGTGGAGAACCAGTATCAATACAATTATTAATCAGGGACTTATCATAAAATGGGTAACAGTTTTATAATATAAATACTCGAGTATATGAAAAACCTGTTAGTCGTGTTAGTGACATTATCAAGTTAACAACACTGAGGAAAAAATATACAAATAAATTTAAATTCTCTAAAGTGGGAGGTGGTCTAACACCTGAAAATTTAGCTTTTCTACAATCAATAAACGCTGTTTAATATGGATGATATGTATTTAGACGTATCAGGTAGATATGTTGATGATTGTATGATAACTCAAATTGATTACCATTCGTTTCTTCCTTATTCAACTTCTGCCCTTTCTAATAATGACGAAGTGCGTATTGCTTTACATAATACAGAGTCATATACTCTACCGTGTGAAAGTTACATCTACATAGAGGGGACAGTAACCAAACCTGTTGATTTGATAGATGACATTCGATTTATAAACAATGGACAAGCATTTCTTTTCTCTGAAATGAAATATGAAATAAATGGTACTCAAATTCAAAAACTTGTTAACCCAGGTATTTCGACTACATTAAAAGGATATTGCTCGTATAATAAATCAGATATTTTTTCACACTATAACGCTGCTTGGAATGATGACATGAAAAATGTTAATAAAGATTTTATCGAGAGCGGTGTATTTAACGGATGTATTAATCTTAAAGATCTGTTTGGGTTTTGTGAAGACTATAAACGTATTTTAATAAACTGTAATCAACAACTTATATTAAATAGAGCGTCGTTATATATAAATGCGGTTAAGCAGTACAAAAATAATGAGGTTGTAATAATAACCTTGGTGAGGTTGGCGAAGTGATATTTTCATTAAATAACTAAAATAATAATAATATTAATTATTTAAGAAAGTTTTATAAATATATTTTTAATATACCTCTGGTGACATTTCCCTATTCCATCGTTGTATTGAATGTTCTGCTAATTGTGTATATGCAAACATTTTGAGTTGACTGATGAAATTAACATCATGTTTAGAACTGTTTGCGATAATATGGTCGTCACGTATATTTTTAATAAATATAATCATTTCTTCACTCGTTTATGGTGACGATTCCATTTTGTTAAGTTCTCTATCAAGATACTCGGTAAATATTTCAAATTATTTTAAAACGATTGGCTGCGTGATAGTTGATTTTCGTGTAATTGTTTCGAAAATACGAGTGCACCATTGTAGATATTGCAGTCGTATGAGTTCTGTACGATTTAAAAGAATTCGACATCCATCATGTATCTTAGACTCTATTACTAGGTTGTTTTCACCGCTATACATCATGTTAGATAATTTGAAATTCTCGGTCTCAAGAAATATGGTTCTTTTAAATTTCCCCGGTTGCTCCAGAATAAATGATAGGATATTACCCATCAGTGAAAATATCCGCTTTAGAAACTCAGTTGATATATTAACATAACGTGATGGAGTCATTATATGCACTGCTACTCTGAACATATCACTAGGATCGATCCGAATATGTATAAGCTTACGTTTCACGAAGTTTAACGTATAGTTCGTAGAATCGATGAGTTCTGAAGGTGGTGTTGGTGGAATCTATGTAAAGGTTTTCTTGTATATAGCTGCATTATCCGTGATTGAACCAGCCATGTTCAGAAAAAGTTGAAAAATTTAATTTATAAACACTATAAAAATGATTTCAACTTAGGGAGAAAAAAACGACTTGACAGTTAAGTGTTTGTATTGCTACTGATGATATTGTAGTCACCACTCTAGACTATTTATGCCTAAAATATTATAAGTTAATAGTTTTATTTAATATATATAGATCATTAAATAGTAATTAAAATTTGTATACTTTCATATTTCACAATTCGTATTTTAACTGATGTTTAAATTATTCTCATGTAATATTTCAATCATATGTATTAAACATTATTATTTAATTTACTTATTCGACTATAATATATATTTTTTTTGTGGTGGGGGGGGG